CTTCTTCTTCTTCTTCTTCTTCTTCTTCTTCTTCTTCTTCTTCTTCTCCTTCTTCTCCTTCTCCTCCTTCTCCTCCTTCTCCTCCTCCTCCTCCTTCTTCTTCCTCTTCTTCTTCTTCCTCCTCCTCCTTCTTTTCTCCTTCTCTCTCCATGATATATGCATGTGTTTGCACATGCATGTGTATATTTGTGCAGAGGCTTGTGTCACATGGCATCTTCCTCACTTTCTGCTTTATTTTTGAGGAAGAGTCTTACACTGAATTGAGGTGTACCAGGCTTTCTTTATTAGGCCACCAACCAGCTACCAAATCATGACACACACTTTAAAAAAAAAAGATTTATTTATATGAGTGCTCTATCTGCAGGCATGACTTGATGCCAGAAGGGAGCATCAGATCTCATTATAGATGGCTGTGAACCACCACATAGGTGCTGGGTACTGAACTCAGGACCTCTGGACAAGCAGCCAGTGCTCTTAACTGCTGATCCATCTCTCCAGACCCGAGACTTCTTATTAGTTAAGAATGTTCAGCCTTCTCTTATGCTTGTTTCTTGCTAGTTCCTATATCTTAACCTGTTTATCTAGTTTTGCCTTTCTTTCTATATGCCCCACTTTTCCTGCTTCCTCTATGGCTGGCTGGCTGGCTGGCTGGGTCCTGGCATGTCCCCCTCTCTCTTGTTCTCGTTCTTGTTCTCATCATCACCGTTCTTCTCGTCCTCCTCCTACTTATTCTTTCTGCCCGCCAGTCCCACCTATCCTTTGTCTGCCTAGTTACTGGAAGCTCAGCTTTTTTACTAGGTTAATCCAGGTGCCTTAGGCAGGCAAGATGAAATAGCAACACATCCTTACATCATTAGCAAAGGCAGTGTAAACAAATGTAACACAGCTTTATACAGTTAAATAGTCCGCAGCATAAACAAATGTAACACACCTTAACACAGTTAAAGTAATAGTCCGCAGCATAAACAAATGTAGCACATCTTTGCCCAGTTAAAATAATATTCCACAACACTGAGAGCTCACTGATTTGACAAGACTCGCTGGCCAGGAAGCTCCAGGAATCCTCCTGCCTCCATCTCCCCAGTGTGGGGATTATAAGCATTGGCTATGATGCCTACCCTTTTCGATGCATCCTAGGGAAGAAATTTGGCTCATGCTTATGTGGAAAACACTTTATTGATTCAACCACCTGCTCAGCCCCTCTGCTTTGGTTTTAAATTTGTTCTGACCCATAAAGGTATACATTTATAAGGTGAATTTAATGATTTGATACATGCATTTATTTTGTAGTGATCGAATGAGAGTCATGGGATTTGCCAAGACAAAACCAAAACAAACAAATAACAAAATACCACTTGCACAAAGAGACTCAAAAGATTGTGTGCAGGGCTTTAATCTACACAACTCCCTAGAAAGATTTTGGAAAACTAGATGATCTGATGTGGTACTCAGTCTTCAACGTGGGAGGCTGACTTCTGGCCAGCCTGGTCAGCACTAAATACTAGTGGAACCTGCCTCTTGCTACCACAATAAAGAATTTACTACAAATTTTCACCCCTATGGACTATTTAACTAGACTAGGAAATCTTTTCTAAGAAAGTTGTGGGAAGCAGAGTTCCATACTGGTTACCGTGCTTCCCAGCCCTGGTGTGCAGTCCTATTCACTCAACACTCCTGAGGTTTTTTTTTTTTAAAAGAGATTTTTACACAAATAATTAGGTACCAATTAAGTCAACACGAGGACGCAAAGGTCCTGCATAGTTGGCACGACATTCTCCTTGAAAAGGCTTAAGTTTTTCCTGGAAAAGGAACCTGGGCAGCGTCCAGGAATGAGGGTGGCCCACCGCTTATGTCAGCATGGGAATAAGCATGGATGCTCTCCAGCCACGAGAAACTGAATTTGGCCAACAGCCTCTAGGAGCCTGTTCTACTCCAGAAGAACCAGGAAGGAACCAGTCCATCCAGCTCCTTTACTTCAGCCGGCAAGACCCTAAGCAGAGCACCAGCCCACACCGCACTGGACTCCGGAGCTATAACAGGTTCTAACACAAGGGCGCTGGTTTTCACTTTGTTTCAAGGGTCGCCGAGAGGGCAGCGACATAAAACTCATATCTGCAATGATGCCACATGTCATGGAAGGCACCGGAGATCCCTGTTGTCTTCTCTGAACCACCCATAACTTCCCTTGTTACTCAGGGCTGGACCAGGAAGAAGGCCTGTTGTTTCTCCATCTTTTCCCTTTATCCCCCCCCCCCCAAATACGAGGGTGCAAGAGTAGGCTGAAGTTCAGGAGCTGGCCACACCCCCTCGTGCTAGGACCGCTTGCTGATGGCTGAGGCCATTTCGGTCCCCTGGCCCAGCCTGGAGCCTCTGTCTGCATACGCTTTTCATCATGAGACACCAGGCTGGCGAGGCATAAACAGGAAAGGTGACACGGAACCTCGGTTATTTACTGAAATCTGACCTGCGGGGCTGGCTCATTGCTGTGGAAGGTCACAGAAAGCCCATCTGTCTGAACACAGTTGTGGAAATGTTCTTTGTGTTCGTGGGGCTGAAATATTTCACATTTTGTATGTGGTGAGGAAGTCCAGACCCTCAGGCCTGGCCTGCTGCCTGCTTCTCTCAGGAACCATTTTCTGTACACTCCACAGTTGCCTCACTCAAAAATGCCACCAGCAGGCCACAGGCTTCTCAGTTGTGGGGCTTCCTTTATTTTTATGTTTCTTCCTTCCTTTTTTTGTTTTTTGTGACACAGGGTTTCACTGTGTAGTCCTAACTGGCCTGGAACTCTTTATGAAGACCAGGCAAGCCTTGAACTTATAGATTTGACTTTCTCTGCTTCCCAAGTGCTGGATTAAAGGTGTTCCCACCACACTGATTTCTTTTTCATATATATAAATATATATATACATAAATATATATACATAAAAATATATATACATAAATCCAAATTGAGAGCTTGGTGATAGCAATAATTTTAACATTAAAAATTATCCATTAAAATTGTCTTTGAAATGAAGAATAGCAGTTAGTTCAGAGGCCTGGTCTGCTCCCCTGTTAGCTTCTGAGACACTACAAACCAATGTCCTCTCTTGTAAAGACACACAATGCCTGGGTTCACGTTTAGTCTTTCAAGTTGACTGATTCCATGGATTTCCTCTGACACCTTTCTTTCATGTCTGATGAAGGCCATCTCTGAAAACTGCTACATTAGGGACTAGGCCCTTGTCACGGGGGCTTTGCAGACTCTTAAGTTCCAGACTGTAACATTAGAGCAATAGAAGAACATTTCTCTAGTTAGTTTTTCTGAAGCGCTTCTGTCCCTGGACCTTTATTTAAAGGAAAGGTGACACTGTGGTGCATTGTTCTGAGTAAGTCAGTGCCTAGCGTTTCCACGCACGACACTAGATGGCATCGATTGTCTGATTGCAATTCCTTAAGTCCTAGGACTTTTCAGTATGACAAGTGAATAGGTAAAATAGCCTGTTTCTGCTGGGTGTGGTGGTGCTCGCCTTTCATCCCAGCGTGCAGGAGGCAGAGGGAGGCAGATCTCTGTGAGCTGGAGGCCAGGCTGCTCTATATAGGGCGTTCTAGGCCAGCCAGGGCTATACAGCAAGACCTTGTCTCCAAATAAAAATAAAATAAAATAAAATAAAACAAAACTTGTTCTGCTCCTAATTCTATGGAGATGAAGGGTCTCTGTTCTAGAGATTTAAGAGAGCGATGCTCACACTCTTGACAAGGCCATTTTTTACTGAGCAGGTCTCATACACTGTCCTCCCTTAGTGTCTGAGGGGATTGGCTCCCGGGTCCCCATGGAAACCAAGCTCTAGAGATACACAGGTCTCTTATACAAAACAACATGGCATGAAATTATTAACTGTCATTTAAGAGTTGTTAAGTTATATTGACAAAAGTCTGTTCACATGGTACAGACAATATGTTTTTCTCCTTTGAGACTGGGGTTCACTATGTCACCCTGCCAGGCTTTGGGTGCGGGGATTAGGGGTCAGCAGTATGTGCCACTATGCCCAGGTCCTAGTACTTTGGGGCCCAGGGGGGTGGTGTCCGTAGATGTGGAATCCGGAGCCATGAAACACTTGAGTATTCAGAGAACATCTGTACCCATAGTTGTCTTATTTAAGGGTGCAATCTGAAGGAATATCAGGTGGGAAGCCCCTATGAATAGAGACATTTCTCAAGCACACCCCATATTCTAGGAAACTCTTTCCTTTTGAGTGTAAGCCTTACTTATTCTCCAGGGCTGACCGACTGAGGTTTGTGTTTCACTTTTATGACTTGAATTTTATACAGAGAGTGAAGATGTTCAGCACCGATACGGATTTTTACTGGCCGAGAGCATCATCCTGACGTGTGTCTCTGCTACCCACTGGGAGGTCATTTTCTTACATAGCCCTATCCTAAGCTCCGCTGAGTCCTTCCTTACATTTGTTCTATATGGAGAAAACCCATCTACAGCGACAAGCGACAGAACCAAGCAGCGAGAGGGCCCCCAAGAAGAGAGCAAGGGAATGGTGCTCGGTTTCGGACCCTGGTTCTAGTGTTCCTTGGGCACAGCCACACTCCTGCCTGGTTTGGCTGTTCTCAAACTCTGTGGGTGATTTCTGCAAAGCAGTCAATTCCACTTTCCATCCGAGCTCTGAGACGTTCTTCTGTCACTCGACATGGAGCAACGACAACTCCAAGAGTAAATTATAGCCGCCTCCAGGCGGGATTCTTTCTCTGGAATGGATTTGAATGAGTCCTATCTCTGTATTCTCTTTGGTTGCCAGAAATCCAAAGCATACTCTTCATTAGAATTTACTGCAGGAGCTAAAGTAGGAGAACTGAGTACAAGAACGACTTAACCTGCCCACCTCCATTTCTCTCCGCAATCTGCCATTGTGTGCTACGCTGGGATGTGCTTTAAAAATAACTTTTCTAAAACTGACAGTTAACTTGAGGCGTCCGATTTTTAAAAGTACACTGAACACATTCTGCATGCTGCCGGGCCTGGGGCAGGGAGTCAGAAAGGCTCTGTTCATTCTGGCAGGGAGCAGTGGTGTTCAAAGTGTTGTCTATGAGCTTGCTGCTGCAACTGCACCTGGGAACACGCTGAAGATGCGATCAGGAACTCTAGGGGGTGTGGTTCAACAATCCGTGTTATAGCAAGCCCTTTGGGTGACTTTGGGGTGATAAATTTGGGAACTGAAGACTTCTTTGCACACGCACAGAGAGAGAGAGAGAGAGACAGAATCAGAGACAGAGACAGACAGAGACAGAGACAGACAGAGACAGAGAGAGACCTAGCCTCCCATCTTGCTAATGGCACAGCTTGGGAACAGTCTCAGCTTAGCGTCACTACTGATGTTAAGTGATTGAAAGTGGGAATCATTTTGAATTTTTTGAAGATCAAAAACACCCAGTGTAGGAATCCTGGGAAAATCACTCTTGGCCCTGCCTCCTGGCCGGCAGTGAAGGAAGGTGTGCTCTTGGCTTGCCCAGATTGGCTCTAGTTTATCGTCGCAGATAAGACGACACACAGAGATAACATGGAAGGGCTAGTTCCCGTGGGTCTGGATTCCGTCTTGGCAAGGCCTCACTCAAACCCAGTCTACGGGCCTGAAGCCCAGGGGCAGGGCCTCTGTGGGAGGTGTCTGAGAAACGTTAGTGCTGTCGGTCCCTTCCACCACATCAGAAGAGAACTTCTCTTCATTCTCAGATGAAATTTACTACTTGTCATGAGAAGAGAGATGGAGGGACAGACGGTGAGCTAACAAAACAAAAAGGGCTCAGAGACACAAGAATTCTTCCATCCCCAGAAGTCATGACTGTCACTGAGTTAGCCCTTCTAGCTGTCTTATGGAACATAACAAATTATATATATGTATATATGTATGTATATATACACATAAATGTATGTAGTATATTAGTTTATGTGTGCTTTGTCTACATTTGTGCATGTGTACCATGTACATGTCTGGTGCCCAAGGAGACCAGAAGGAAGCACTGGATTCCTCTAGAGCTGAAGCTAAAGACGGTTGTGAGCTGCCATGTGGATGCTGGGAACCAAAAGCGGGTCCTCTGTAAGAACAGCCAGTGCTCTTAACCACTGAGCCATCTCTGCAGCCCTCTCATGGAATCTTAAACTTCTCTTCTCCTCTTTGCTCTGTGATCTTTCAAATTTCCACTTCCCAGCCTTTAATCCAATTCAACAAATACCTGCTAAGTACATGCCACACAACATAATCAAGAAGGGGAAATAAGACTTGGTGTCTACTCTCAAGAAACCTATGGTTGGTAACATGCCATGGCCAATCAAACAGCCAACTGAGAGCAAGAATTACATGGAACTAGGCTCAGGGAGTTGAAAGAGAAATATAACCTAACTCATTGCAGGAGCTTCTAGTCTGAAGGTAGGGAACAGATACATGCAAACCAAACATGGTAAGGGCCGTAATAGAAGTAAGGAGGGGTTCACAGAGCAAAGGACAGGTGACCCGCAGAAGCTTGAGCCCCAGAACCAAGAAAAAAAAAGAGAAAGCAAAAGAGAAAAAAGAATGAAAAGGAAAAGAGGGAGGGAGGGAGGAAAATGGTCATACGCAATGCAGATACTCATCTGGGAATATGATATAGCCTGAAAGCCCCACTATCTGGCAGGGGGATTATTTGATGCCAGGAGTTTCCTGGACCATTTATAAAATCTTGCTCAAAGTAAATTAGACCCAGCAAACGAGCCTGGTATAGTGGTATCCGTGTATCATGCAGCATCCAGGAAACTGAGTGGGAGGACTGAGAGTATGAGGTCAGCCTGGGCTATGTAATGGGTTCCAGGCTAGCATGACCGCTAACAGAGAGACTCACAGTCATATTGATCCTTTTAGGGTTGCTCACGGTGTTGCCAAGTGGCAGTTTTCCTGCTGTGGCTGTGGGGGCACTGACATGGCATCGGTCAGCTGGTGGAGAAGCTGTGGGCTGGACTCAGCTGGGTCCTGTTATCCATGTGGTCTCAAGTCCTTATTCTCTCCATGGCTGCTCACCGTTCATGAATGCACATGTGTTCTTGCCGAGCTGTGGAACATTGCAAGGTGGTAAAAGCTGAAGCTCTGAGTCTTTGCAAGACCTATCCTTGGCGGCTACACAGCGTCTCTTCTACCTACTAGTCAAACCATGTGGAAACTGGTTGATCCGATTAGGACGTAAATAATAGACACTGAGAGGCTCAACGTTGTCTGAGAAGAGCAGGAATCTAAGATAGATAAGAACTGAATAAATTAGCAGGACTAGATAAGAACTGAATAAATTAGCAGGACGGTGGTGACAGCCTCTCGGGAGGCTGAGGCAGGCTCTATGAGTTCGAGGTCAGCCTGGCCTACAAGAGCTAGTTCCAGGACAGACTCTAAAGTTACAGAGAAACCCTGCCTCGAACCCCACCCCCCAAAACAGAAGAATTGGATGAATGGTGCTGTATGCCAGGTCACCCAAGAACTCTGTGCGGAGCGTTGTTAGAGAACGGGCTGCAGGTATGACTGATGGACGTCGCTGGTCCCTCCCTCATCCCAGCTGCACACCGCCTCCCCCAGCACCACCTCCCCCAGCGGCTGTGAGTCCTGTCTAATCACAACTCATAGTTCTTCCATTCCACAGTTAGTTGTCCTCGACTAAACAAGACCCCACCCCATGCCTGGGGTGGGTCAGGGAAAGAGGGTGGCCCCTCAGGTCTGGGTGGGATTGGCTCTGGTACTGTGTGTGCCCCAGGGCCTCCTGGTTTAGCTGCTTCTGCTGTGGCTCCATCCTTTGCTTCCTTTCCTCTGGAAGCACTCTTCAGCTCCATCGCTAAGGATGTCTAGAGAGTCCGCTACGCTTGGGCTTCGCCCCTTCAGCCTCTCTTAACCCTGCCCTTTCTCTGCCCAATTTCAGTTCATGCTTTTCTCTCTAATGTTTGTCTCCCCCCCCACACACACAAGCTTTTCTTCTTTTTGAAGATTCTCCCCACCCCCACAGCTAGACATACCTATAATATCAGGGAGAAGATGCAGTAGGTTTGCCATAAGCTTGAGGTCAGCCTAGTTACGTAACGAGTTCCAGACAAGTCAGGGCTACATAGAAGACCTTGTTCCACTGGTGGCAAACACTTTTAATCCCAGCACTCAGGAGGTAGAAGCAGGTGGATCTCTGAGTTCAAGGCCAACAGAGTGGTCTACAGAGTGAGTTCCGGGATGTCTGAAACCCTGATCTCAAAGCCCTCCCTGAACAAACAAACAAACAAACAAATAAACAGTACTAAACTGCCCTGGGTGTGATGATGTGTACCTTTGATACCAGCACCCAGGAGGCAGAAGCTGGTGGGTCTACACTAGTTCAAGGCCACCCCAGTCTACACAGCAATTTCTAGGCTAGGCGGGGCTAGACAGTGAGCGGTTGTTTCAAAGGACAAAAATAAAGAAATGGGGCTGGTACAGTGGCTCGGCAGGGAGGTGCTTGCTTCCAAGCCTACCTGCCTGAGTTCAAGCCCCGCAGCCCACATGGTGAAGAGAGACTTGACACTGACGATTTTCCTCTGACTTCCATGCCAGGTGCACATGTCACACATTTGTAAACATACAACAAATACATACATGAAAACGTTATTTTGGGGGGCTAGGAATTGTTCAGCAGTTAAGGGAGCACAACAGAAGCCCCCGGTTTGGTCCCCAGCCCTCATATCTGGTGGCTCACAACTACTTAACTCCAGCTTCAGAGGACCCAGTCCTTTCTTCTGGCCGCACAGGTAGGTACCTTCACCCACAAACACATACCCATACACCTAATTTTCCTTAAGTTTTTAAATTTTGTGTTTAAAAATTAACCAAAATACCAGGAAGTGGTGGCACATACCTTTAATCCCAGCACTCAGGAGGCAAGGGCAGGAGGATCTTGAGTTCGGGGCCAGCCTGGTCTACAAAGCAAGTTTCAGCAAGAGTTGTTACACAGAGAAACCCTGTCTTGAAAAACCAAACCAACCAACCAACCAACCAAACCCAAAAACCTCAAACCAAACCACATAGACAAGCAAACAAAAGACGGGGCTGTGTATGTGGCTATGTTGATGGAATGCCCTAGCGTACGTGAAGCCATAGGTTGGATCTCTAGCACTGTGCCTATAATTGTATTACTTAAGAGGTAAATGCTGGAAGATGCGAAGTTCAAAGTCACCCTTGGTTACATAGTGAATTGGGTGCCAACCTGGGCTACACGAGATTCTTGAAACAAACCCCAAATGCATTGGTTTGAATGAAAATGGCTCCTATAGGCTTATAGGGAGCCTATTAGGAGGTGTGGTCTTGTTGGAGGAAGTGTGTCACTGGGAGTGGGCTTTGAGGTCTAAGACGCTCAAGCCAGGCCCAGTGTCACTTTTTCTTCCTGCTTCCTTCAGACCTGGATGTAGAACTCTCAGCTAATTCTCCAGCACCATGTCTGCCTGCATGCCACCATGCTTCCTGCCATTATGACAGTGAACTAAACCTCTGAACTGTAAGCCCCCAGTGAAATGTTTTCCTTTATAAGAGCTGCCGTGATCATAGTATGCCTTCACAGCAATATAAACCCTAATTAAGACACCAACCAATCAACCAAACAAAAGCCTGAGTCAGAGAGATGGCTCAGCTGCTAAAGGCACTTGTCTGCCAAGCCTGACAAAGTGACTTTAATTCCCAGAATCCATATGATTTAAGGAGAAAACCAATTAAGGAGAAAACTCTAAGTTGTCCTCTGACTTCTATAGAGGCATACACATAGATACAAACACAGACAGACACACACACACACACACACACACACACACACACACACACGAAAACCTCAGACTAGGCAGACTTACTGAAAAATGCTTTAGATGTTCTTTCTCTGAGCCTGAATAGATCTGCTTACAGTAGATGGGGTTTTAAAGATGGGAAGCTACAAGATAGGCTCAATCCCCAGGATTCTGCCCTCAGTCTTAGATGATAGCTGTCTTTTGGACAAAGAACGTGGACCCAGAGCTTAAAGCACAGGCCCAGTTGGCTTCTGTCATTTCTGCCCTTCTGCATCCACGCCCTTCTAGTCCAAGACCTCATTTTCTATGGACTCAGCCTTACCCACTCTCTGCTTCAGGCAGGCCTGCCTTGCTGACTCACAGGAGAGCCTGTGACTACATAGAGAGTCATCAGACATGATGCAATCTGCAGTGGCCAGTGTTTGACTCAGTCATTAACCTTCAACCAGGCCAATGAGAAGCAACCAGAGCCAGGAGAAGGCTACCTGCTCTCTGAGAGGGTGGCTCTGCCTCTCAGAAGATCTCTTAAGCAGAACCAAGTGGAGGGAACAACAATGAAATAGATTCTAACTCAGAGCAAGAACAAGGTCCTGGTTTTATCTCCAGAATTAGCAAGAGTGAACGAGGATTGTAAGTCAGGGCTAGCCTGGTCTACAGAGTGAATTCCAGGTCATCTTGAGCTATGTAGCAAGACCTATGCCAAGAAAATAAAGCACCAATGAGCAAGGCAGATTGGATCCTGATGCCATGTTATAAGTCGCTGAGTTTAGCTTAGCCATTTTTTTCTGGACTCTAAGTCACATGGGGCCAATAAACTGCACTCACCACACCCTTTAAACGGTTTGAGGTGGGGCCTGCTGCTTTCAGCCAAAAGATACCCTACTGAAATCCACAGAGTTTTATTCTATTTTACACAGAAGCCCTTGGCTTTTTTACACTTAGGCATCTGTTTTCTCTGTCACACATACTTAATGGGAATGAAGGGGGCATTTAATTGCGGTTGTAGTCTCTTGCTGTGAAAGGCTGTAGGTTGAAGGGAGACATTAAAGGGAGTATTTGCTCTATTGTCTCTTGTTTCTCCTGAATCTTTGGATAATTTACTTCCCCCCCTCCCCCATAAAAGCTTTCTTTTTGAGTAAGGGCATGTGCATGCCACAGCACACGTGTGGCGGTCAGAGGACAACTTAGAGTTGTTGATTGTCCCATGTAGGCTCCTGGGATTGAACTCAGGTCGTCAAGCTTGGCACCAAGCCCCTTTACCCAATGAACCATCTTGTCAGTCCCCTTCTTCCCCTTTTATCTCTTTATCTTTTGTCTCTTTTTTATCTTACACATTTGAGACTTCTTTAAAAAGGAAGTAAAGTCCTTTGAAACATGAACCCCTTGACCTCTATGTCCATAGTCTGATTTCAACAAGTTTAACCTCCAATGGCCTTCCCAACCCTCATATGTTACAGCCATGCACAGCATGATCTACTGGATACTCCTGAATGCTTACACAAGTGACCGCCATCTTATATTTTTGCTAGTTTGCTTGTTTGTTGAAACAGAGTCTTGCTTCATAGCCCAGATTGGCCTTGAACTCAAGATTCTTCAGCTTCAGCCTGGTGAGTGCTAGGACCCAAGTGTATATAGCACCACACCTGGCTCAACACACACATCCATACGATGCTCTCGGTTCCCAAAGGAACCGGCCACAAACCCACTTCCACAGATAGGCAGGGATAGTTCATTAAAACGTCATTTCCTGACTCTAGAAGCTGAAAAACAAGCGCCAATATTCAGAGAGCTCTGATTCCATGTACCATGTGCCCCTTGTTTCTCTTCAGGCAAATGCTTTGATGTCTACAACTCTGTCAAAGAAGGTGAGTACTTTTGCCCCAGGCTTGACCTCACATTAAAACCTCTTTGAAGGTTCTCCATGAAATCAAAACTACACACACACACACACACACACAAATGTGTGTGGTAATATATGTATATATAGCATACATATATAATATATGTATAATATACATTATATAGATATAATACTAGATGTGTTGGTTCATGGCTATAATTTCAGTAGTTGGGAGGCAGAAGCAGGAGACTACAAGTTCAAAGCCAGCCTGGGCTACAGAGGTCCAGGCTAGCTTGTGGTACCAAGTGAGACCCTGGCATCAAAGAAAAAAAATTGAAATTAAAAACTACTGAGCACCTATGGCCTGTTGAGCACGGTAGAAAGTGCCGAGGCTGTCATTGTGGGCAAGAACGAGAAAAGTCCCAGTCTCTAAATAGCGCACATAGCACAGCGCGCACAGAAGGCAAGTGTGCCTCCAGGTGAGGGAAGCCTCGTCAGCTGCGACGTGTTCCGTTGTGGGGAGCAAAGCTGGCACAGGGCTGGATGATGGGAGTCTCTTTAGACCAGTGGTTCTCAACCTGTGCGTCACAAACCCTTTGGGGTTCCACATCAGATAGTTACATTATGATTCATTGCAGTAGCAAAATTTCAGTTATGAAGTAGCAAGGAAATCATTTTAGGGTCGGGGGTCACCACAACGTGAGGAACTGTATTCAAGGGGTCACGGCAGTAGGAAGGTTGAGACCCACGGCCTTAGATGAAATGGCTATGGAAAACCTCTTCACAGAGCGCCTTGAAGAAGGACATTTGGACAAAGGACATTTGGATGGAGATCCAAATAGACGAAAAGCCGAGGCCCGCAGTTTCCTGGAGGAGCAGTGCTCTGTGCTCCGTGCTGTGGCGCGTTGGGAACAGTATTTTCAGGTGTGTTACTTTTGTTCATGCTGCATTTGGTTAACTGCGGAGCTGTGATTCTTTGCCCGTCTAAAACGCCTGATGGTCCTAACAGCCAATAGCGAGGCAGGAACAGGATAGGCGGGGCTAGGAGGGAGAGTATAAAAGGAGAAATGAGGCGGCACACAAGGAGTAAGAACAAGGAGAGGAGGACATCAGGGGCAGCCACCCAACTAACCCAGCAAGCTACGGAGAAAGAAGTAAAAAGGTATACAGAAATAGAGAAAGATGAAAGGCCAGTGGTAAAAGGAAGTCAGGATAATTTATGAAAAGCTGGAAAGAAACAAGCCAAAGCTAAAGGTAAGGTCAGGCATTCATAACGGAGTATAAGCCTCTATGCATGATCTATCTGGGAGCTGGGGTGGCGGGTCCCTCAAAAAGCCAAAAGAGTAAAAAGAGTCACACAACAGTGAAGTGTACTTAGGGATGATGTTAAGGGATATTTTGATCACTACGGAGACTGCGCAATAGTTTTATACCTTGAATCAGGGGTGGAGCCAGTGACTAGCTGGCCAGAATCAGCTACATAGAAGCCAGCAGTTTGGTTAGAGAAGACACAGGAGAGAAAGGACGGGAACTAGAGTTGGTTCTGGGACCAGGGAACCTAGTGTCTTGTGGTGTCTCTGGCCAAAAAGCAAGGTCAGCTCGTTGCTACGCAGTCTCTCTGAGCCAGCTGGTTTTCATCCCAGTCTTTGACTTCTGAGTCTTATTGATACATAGAGTGAGAGAGACTTAATTTAAACCTACATATGGCAGCAGACCAGAAGCCCACCAGGCCACAGTCTGAATGGCCAGTGGGTCGCTGACTGAAGGGCTGTAGGCAGCCGGCGATCACTGAAGTATCCGTAGATTCACAGGTAGCCACTAAGTCTATGGAAGAACATCAGGATGATTTCTCATTTATTCCACCAGCCTCCACTAGATGGATGCCCTCAACAGAGGGAAACAGAAGCTCCACTCAAAGTGAGGTGGGGTGTCCCAGAGAGACAGGACAATGCCGGGAATTTCTTTTCTTAAAGACACAAACAACCTACGGGGTTCCGTGGTCACCTGAACTGTTTCCCAAAGAGAAGGGATATTAGTAGTGTTTAAGTGGCAGAATCTGAAGCCAGTCTTATTCAATAGTGACCAGTGCCAATTTTCCCAGGTTAGATACATTTTCGGTGATTACAAGAGGTGCTCACATTAGGCCAGGCTGAGTGATGGGCAGGTGGGCGCTTTGCGCTGTTTGTGGCTTTTCAGCAAAGCTACACCTCTATCAAAAGACAACAAAAAGTTGGTCACTGGATGCTACTTACCTGGGGTTCAGTGTCAAAACCACCAAGGCCCAACTGGATGGAAAAGTTTGTACTGTTCTTAGAGTTTCCTGAGGATATATAGAGTTGATGTGATCCTCAAAACAGTCTTAGATTTCATGACAGTTAAGAAATTGGTCATTTCGACTTGTGTGAAGATTCAAAAGAGCGACCTGGGCCAAAGCAGCCTTTGAGAGTCCATCAGCCATCAGGACCCCAGGGTTGCTGTTGTTGTGAGATGAAGATGCTGCAAATGTAGGCAGACCCCAGAACATGTAGGCAGACCCCAGAACATGTAGGCAGACCCTGGAACACGTAGGCAGACCCAGGAACACGTAGGCAGACCCCAGAACACGCAGACAGACCCTGGAACACGTAGGCAGACCCCGGAACACGTAGGCAGACCCCAGAACACGCAGACAGACCCCAGAACACGTAGGCAGACCCCAGAACACGCAGCAGACCCCGGAACACACAGGCAGACCCCGGAACACGCAGGCAGACCCCAGAACACGCAGCAGACCCCGGAACACGTAGGCAGACCCCGGAACACACAGACAAACCCCGGAACACACAGACAGACCCCGGAACACGTAGGCAGACCCCGGAACACGTAGGCAGACCCCGGAACACGTAGGCAGGATAGCCCGGGAATCAAGCACACGTGCAGCTAGGTTTCTGACAAAGGAACAGTAAGGTGCAAGGAAAGAGGTGGCCTCACGGGGAAAATGAATGCGAGCATTTAAGTTACACGATGCACAGATACTGATTTCATGTGTAATTTATAAAAACAGCATCTAAGAGGAAACATGAATATCCTTATGACATTGGTGGAGGCAATAATTTCTTCAACAGGATACAGAAAACCCAGACCATAAAGAAAAGAAGACCACATGGAGACACAGTGCTTTCTTCACGGATGATCCCATGCAGACAATATGGAAGAAAGGTGTATTTCATGTAGCTGACAAATATAACCAGAATACCCACTTACTCCTAAAGTTAAGATAGTTCAATAGCCAAACATATATATTTCCATGCTTAGGCAAGCGTTCTACCTAAGCTATATTCTGAGCTATATTCCAGCCCCCACAAGATACTTGCCACACGCAAAGCAGAATGGATGATGATCTTACCCTCTAGATGAGGTCAAGAGGCCAAACACAAAAGAATATATATTGTATCATCCATTCATATAAAG